TGCGGTCGTATAAAAACTGCATTTGACCCCATATGTTCTATTTTTAGCCATGGCGGCCATGTTTGTTGATGGATCAAAATTTCGGATACAATTTATAAACTAGATACCCTAAGGAATATTTATTTAAATTTTGAAGGTATTTGGCCCAGTGGCTTCAGAGGAGAAGATTTTTTAAATAGTTTACGACGACAGACGACGACGACGACGGACGCCAAGTGATGGCATAAGCTCAAATGGGGCCCTTCGGGCCCGGTGAGCTAATAAGGAGAGGAGCCTGAGATCGAAAAAAACAAGACAGGATAACAAAACAGTTGGATGAAACCGCTGAACTAAATTTGGCCTAATCATCCTGATATTTTCAATCTAACTCAACTGTCTAGAAAACAAATTGTACTGCACTTGATGCAGTGATAGAATCTATATGTTGACAGCAAAAAAAAGGACTGGGATAAACTGCATAGTACAATATGATACTGACATACACATGAATAAAAGCCTGGAAAAACATAAATTATAACAAATCATAGCGGAAAGTACCAGGAAATCTGTTATCTACACACAGAGGAAACTGGTGCATAAACATAGGAAATACAAGGTCAAGATGTAATATAATTAGACTTGAGTAGATGTAAACTGTCATTTTCTCTTTCTCACTCATTAGTTTTATTATTAGGAAGTGCAGGCAGGTTGTCAAGGTTAGGGCAAATTCCAATATTACATGTATTTTGTTAGTGTTCAGAAATAAAAAATTTGAATGAGACAACGAAGTATAGATGGATAGATTTTTGATAAAGATTATTATTTTTTTATTTCAAATAGAGGACCCATTATAGGCAAAATCAGTACAATGGTTAGTTTATGAAGACTGGGACTAGTGTAATAGTCCCTGGTGAAGAATGGAACATATTATGCTATTGAGCATTATAAATTCTCCAAAACAGGACATTTGTTCAATCCCATAACATTACGTGTGTACAAATACATGTAAACCTAAATCAAGGATAACTCAGTGTACTTGTGCAAGACCGAACAGTTTCATAACCTTAGAAGGAAGTGTTCTGATTTTCAGATACTAATCTGTCTACAATCTGATTTTTATCAAGATTACACACTTTCCTAATTACCTAGAGATCATGCAATGTATCACTCTATGTCACATGATCAAAATTATTTAAATGACTTTAAAAAGAAATATTGAAAAATACCAAATCAGGTCCGATATTAACTGTCCTTTAAAAGCCTGGTTAGGACATGTAGGAGAGCTAGACCTTACATACCTAACCTTTTCTGGAACAATTTTGTCATTTTCTTATACTATTTCAATGAAACTTACTCTTCAACATTCAATAAGGACACTGGATTTGGCTTTTTAAGAATACATGGAGATAAAAAAAAATTATGAGAAAACTTTTCTTCTGTCTAACTGCACTATAGTAGCTATACTGCTAATCGTTAGTAAACAACTCCTGATCAATATATTATCTAACATTATCTGAGCCTCAGGTGTCTTGTGGTCAACTCAAGTCCAGTATAAATCCTTGATACTAATTAACTAACCAATCTCATCAATTCAAACCACATGCTCAATAATTGTACATGAATATAAGCTTATCACTGTTAACATACAATAAGCCATGTTTCAACAACAAGGTGGAATCATTTGCTTCGTCCTAGGGCAGATCTGTAACACAACAACCGATCTAGAATTTAAGCTAAAGGACACATGGCTGACATAGCTTAACAAAATATTAAGAAGATTGTTGTCCATGGGACACAGATATGCCACTTGTAATTATTCGGCGAATTCAGCAACTTTTCCATTTATAAAGGGACACAACTCAAGAACGGTGAAAGTGACACTACCCAAATTCAAACTTGATCTATGTTTGGTTGTAATAAGAATTGTGTATTAGTTTTATTATAACATTTGGTTGAGTCAAACTTAGGTAAGAGAAAGGAAAAGGATTTCAGGACTTACTGACGGACAAGGGTAAACCTTTATGTTTCCTTCGCCTAGCTCAGCCAGTAGGGGCATAAAAAATGCCAAATCTGTAAAGGAGTAGGTCCGGTAAGGGCCGATTTTGGCCTCAAAATTCAAGTTCATCTGATGAAAGATTTTGGACACTTTTTAAACACTTAAGTGTCTACTTCAGTCGATTCAATTAGTTTATGTGAAAGATTTGAACTGATTTAGTCATCAAAGACGCTCAAATTCAAGCTTAAATATGAAAAATCTATCAAATATGCCATAATATGTCACTTTTCAGATGGTTATTGTCAAAAATGAAAGTGGCCGCATCCGTGTTCATTCTCAACCTTTATATATGTTATGTATTATCATCAAATACAACTTACATTTAAATATTAAGAATGAACACAAATGCGGCCACTTCCATTTCATACGGAAACCGTCTAAAAATTAACCAAAATGCTAAAATTTCGAAGATTTCAGTAATTTAGCATGACTTAATGATGCTAGTACCCGATACATGTGCATTGTATTGTCAAAAACAGCCCATATTTATGTAACAGAAGTATTCTTCTTTCCAATAAATAGCTAAATATTTACATTTTAACAATTTTGTAAAACTGCTATATTTTGGGGCCAAAAAGGGATCTTACTGGGCCAACTCCTTTACTATTTATAAAATGTTGAATAATACAAAACAGTGAACCCAATACCGTTTTTGTACCCCCGGGCATAGATTGCCTTAGCTGTATGTGGCAAAACCTTTCAGAATATTTAATTGGCAATGCTCTTTGACTTTGTCTTTAATTTGGCTTTCCAACTGTTTTGTTTTGAGTGGACTGGTGAGTCTTGTGTAGATGAAACATGCATCTGGTGTACCAAATTATAAACCTGGTATCTTTGATGAGATTTTAGAGGATCTAAATTCATTTGTTTTCCATATTTACAGGAGAAAACATGCATTTCAAGGAAATCCTAAGGTATGTAAGACATTATGAAATTTTCACATAAATAAAACAAGGATTGTCCTGTAGGGAACCTTTTTTTTTTTACTAAAGACTGAAAAACAGTAAAGGATTGCAATACTTTCAGAATTTCAAATGCTAACCCAACATCAAGTAAAAATAACAGAACTTCCAAATACCTAGCATGGGTTGACCTGAATGCTCCCTATATCAGAAACTACTACTGAGTTTTTATGTTTTAAGATATTTCTAAAGACAATTGAGCACTAGATCTTTTCGGTCCTATAATACATAGATATAGAAGTGTATCTGGGATATTTATTTTCAAAAATGAGCATTCTTAAGTCCTTTTTCTTGCTACAATGACAGAAAACCAACCAAATATTCAAATAGTACATAAATAGACAAAAAAACATCAGGTTTCTAATTGAAAATTAAAAATACAAGGTCAAAGGCCAACTATCAGCTGATTTTTAAATGTTGAGAATTAACAATTGCCTCATACAATCACATGTAATAGGGATTTTATTTGTTTAAATAAATATTTATCTTTATAAAATCTCTGATTTTAGATTTAAATGTCACATAATAGAGACCATAGCATGTGGGCTATAGAGACAGCTGAAATTAAAATGTCAGTTAGTCCTTGAACTATGACCTTTAAAGAATCACTAGCTTTAGCAATTTTGGTCTTTTAAAATTTGTTGATTCAAAAGCTTATATAACCATAACAAATAACAAATTGAATATTCAGATATCATAGATGACACTGTGTTGTAGACTCTAGCAAACAAACACTGATAGTCGAATATTTACTGATAGGCTGAAGGTTAATCATGTGTATATGTGACCTGACTAGATGGCTCAATTTCTGGACAACACATTTTGGAAAATATAAAATGATAATATAATATTACATACAGATTCTACTACTTCATCCAATGTGATACAATATTTCTCCTTTCGAGACAGTTAAATAGCCAAAATTAGTGGAAAGTAAGAAAACTTGACATCTTAACTGAAAGTTGACCAACTTGCTAAGAATTAGAAAAGGGACTTTATACGCTTTGCATCAAAAGAAACAGGGTACATTGTATATGAATAGCTAGCTATATAATCCTTGTATTTCAACACTGATTTACACAGAAACAAAGGGTTTGTGGATTCTCAAGTTCCTTTATACCATACAATATAAACTTCATACTTGTATGCCGCAATAAATTGAATCTTTATTTTTGTCTTTTATTTTCTTATTTTGAATACAAAACATTCACACCTTACAAAAATATATTAAAACAACCAGTTGTTGTTCATTTCTATACTTTCTTTATTAACAAAGTATGTTTATTTCATCCTTTTACTTTAAATTTGCAAGAGTTCTCAGTTGTTTCTACCTGAAGCTTTTTTTATGAACAGCTAACTAGAAAGCTTCTATAACACGAAACATTTTATTCAAGCTGGCCTGTTGAGGTCTTTATCTAATTGCTCATTCATTTGCTTATAAAGGTCCTTTTTACTTCGTTGAGATTTCTTGCTTGTATTGTGTTGCGAATAATTTTACAAACTTAGCCAGTCTACCTGACCAGAGCAATAAATCTTGTAACCAAGAAGTAACTTACATGTAGTTGGAAAGATGTGATAACTGTTGGATATTACACTCTTCTTTGAACATTTGTTTAAGTGTATAATTTTGTTTTCAAATAACAAGCAAGAGACCATGGCTATATATTCACTTTCTAATCTAATTTTTAAGTTGTTATTTTAATGAATGTCCAACCAAATTTGTTCAGAAAGCTTAATGTTGAGATTACCAAATGCTTTACATAACTGGTATATCTCAGGAGGGATACAATTTTGGCCTAATTAAAGATTAGTTTGGTGTATGCTTTCTTTATTTTCAATCAGAAAAAAAATGCTTGTTAAAATTTGTAACAATTCTTAATATTTGTCGATTTGCAAAACTTCCCTAAAAAATATATAAAAAAAAGTAATGTTCAAACTTAAAACTATAGTTCCAAACATGTCTCATATGAGTTTTATACAACTGATTTAATAAACAAACTTACCAGAAATTAATTACAAATAAAATCCCTGTTGTCATTTTTAACATCTAATCAAAATCTGATGAAAGTCAAATTAGAACATAAGGATAAGAAACTTCTATAAAGTCACAAAATTAGTTCCAATCCGGTATTATATTCTAAAATAGATCAAATGTCACAATTAGCAACTAATCCTGAAATTCTGGCAATGATCATCAGATGACAAAATAGCTTTCGGTCACCCCATATTTAAATCTATATTTGGCGGTTAAGTCAGTGTAAACATAAACTAACTAAGTCTGTGGTGTAAATAATGTGATTCAATAGGAAGCATGTGGTTAACAAAATACAATCATTATACCATGTGGTTATTTAAAGCAGGATCTTTCTCTATATCTAAAGTTTCATTCTGATTGGTCGATAAAGGTGGGCAGGTATCATAAAGGTCGAAAAAGGTCACACAATACATGTACATGTGTCAGTGACTTTTCTAAATCAATTGTTATCTGGCCATGTTAATTAATTCATTTACTTGTACAAAGCCTTTTATCTACTGGGTATAGGTCAAAGCATAAAGTGATTTATGTCAGACATTAATTATTTATCAAAAGTGTGCCAACATTTTGCTTGTTACTTGTACATGCATCATAGAACATATAAACAATGCATGAAATATGCAACTAATTTTTTATTCATGGTGCTGACAAAGCAAGATTTAACAGAGTTATAGGTAACCACAAAAAGCAGATTAGCTATGGTGACATACTGGAAAAAAAGATGCAAAAGCTGAACACATGTGCCCAAAATTAATAAATCTTTCTTAATATCGCATCACATGTAGCTATTTTAATAGATGATTTCAAAATCATGCCCAAAATTGATATTATTATTTGCATTTTTTTACAAAATGCAGAACTCAAATTTTTTTGGCACATCTACATATAGAATTATACTAGACATAAAATAACTATCTGATCATTAGATAGTAAAAATCAATTCAAATTGACTTATATTTCCCTATGTCGTTTTGTTGTGCCCAGTCTCTAAGTATCAAGTGAAGTATAAAACAAAAGACTGCAGATATCTATCCCATGTTGTAGCATGCATTCTGCAACAACAACAAAAAAAAAACCAAAAAAAAACCCAATCTCTTACTTACCATGGGCAGTTCCAGGATTTGAGGTTAAGGGTTAGGCTGAGAGTATGATCATAATTATTATGACCCAGTAGAGAGAGAGACAGAATATTTCTAATAACTTGTTTTCCATGATGAGTTATTCTAAATTTAAAGTTAAATGTAACAAGAATAAACCTATTTAAAAGTTGAATGCAAAGCCTTCCTAGATGATGGTTAAATGACTCATGTTCTTTTATGCAATTCATAAATCCAAATATAAAACGAAACATGCATTATCATTGTACTTTTCTGAGAGTCTACATGTCACACCTGCCTGCAGGAAGACAGGGCTAGTAGATTGGACATATGTAAACATATGATGTCACCATGTAAAACATAAACATTAGTCTTGTTAACAATTAGTCATAAAAACAAAGAACACGCTTCTAATACATCTCACTTAAAGAACATTGTCTGTTTCTTCTTTTTGTTAACTCTGACTGTAACACATTGAACTAGATATTTAATTTAGTTTAGTTTAATATGGATTGTTAATGTTTAATGACACTTTCAGACCCTTTGGCTTTCCGAAAAGTACCCGAAAAGAGAACCACTGACATGCAGCAGGAAAACTTGCAATCTTTGTCAATAAATATTGGAGGCCAAGAGCAGAGTTTGAATTCATAAACTTAGTGCTGACAGGCCAGTCATCACTAGAACTAATTAGACCATTTGGCTGTAAAGGACCCAGTGTAAAGAACATTTTTTGCACTGCATATAGCCATATGCTGTAAAATATTATAATAATTTTTTTAAGTGAAGCTTTCAAATTATATCAAAATAATTCTATTCAGCAAAAAATTAAACAAGAACATATTTGTATCTTATCATAAGAACATATGATAAAATATTATCTTAATAAGGTTTATATAAAACCACAAAATCCTGTATTATACCAATTTGTCATAAAAAATTAAAATTATACATTTATAATCAAACAAGTAACATCAATCATTAAAAGAGAAAATTCTACTTGAAACATGGGATATCAGACTACTATTTACATGCTTTGTGAATGATTAGTTTAAATATTAACTTTTTTTTACATCAGACATATATGCCATGTCTGCTTGCAAACTCAACTCATCCTGAAATCAAGGTCCTCAGTCATAAAACTTTACTCAGTACTCGGAGTACAAAATTTGTGCTCAAAACACCAAATCCAGTATTTTGATTGGTTGATTTCGGAGTCTGAGTACGATAATCGTGCTCACAACTTTTATGACCGCAAGGCCAGGACTACAACCCAAGTACATGTACTGAATAGTTCTAAATTTACTAAATTTTTCACAAGGTTTTCAAGTCACCAAAATACCAAACTGTTATGTCCATTTTAAGATATATGCCAATTTTCACACAAAACAAGATAAAATTCTCATAAATTTCCCATTGAATGACCTTTGAACAACTTGAAGATCTTTAAATTAAATATAACTCTTGAATCGACAGACACTGACCAATTGCTTTGTTTACAGATGGTGTTAATGAAAATAACATTTACAACTATAAACAGCAATTTATGAATAAACAAGCTATTTTTATTTTTGGACCATATTATTGACTGACTTTATTGAACTGTTGCTAGACAAAATCAACACTACCACACCTTAAACAAATGCTTTGGATTTATGGATCACAATTACTACAAGAAACTTGGGTTTGAAGGCCAAATGTTTATTACTCTCTGTACAGTAAAACAAACAAAAATAAAATGTCAACATTCTCATATCTAAGAAATAAGACTGCAGTTATAATTTAAGATCAATTCTTATAAGGAAGCATGTGTATTTATACTTTCTATTTATGGCAATGATATATATCAACCAATCAGGATGCAATGAAATGATATTTTATGATCAACACCCTGAAAAAAATTGAAAATGTTAATTCATCTTATATTTAACAAGTATATAATAATATATACTGCATATATGTGTAAATGTTCTCATTTCAAGGGAGATAACTCTAATAAATATTTATTAATTTAGATATACCTTGTTGATAAATATGAAAATAAGATGTGGTATGATTGCTAATGAGACAACTATCCATCAGAGTCTAAATGAGGTGTATGTAGGCAACTATAGGTCATTGTAAGGCCTTCAACAATTTGAGTAAACCCTATACTGAAAGACAAGATTAAAGTTTACCTTGTTAAACCTTGAAACTTGGTAAAATTCAACAACATATTCATCTAAACCCAATATCTGTAGAATACTATAAATGGTTGTGCAAATCAGATGTATGTCAATGTCCATTGTGTGTGGTCACCATAACATAAAACCAATTACTGGTATCCTATAATACTGAATTATAAATATTGACAACAGATGTCTTGAAGGTTTCTTATCCTTATCCACCCACGTAGTAATCACTTTATACACAAATGGACAACCCAATATGCTTTAATCAAAGATTCATAGGGCTTCAAATCAGCTTTTTTGTGACAAAATTAATGCCAATAATGGGTAAACTGTATATTACATCATACATGTATAGTTACACGTTCATTTTTTCTGGAAATCTTGAATTTTGTAAAGAAGCCTTAAGTTTGCAGAAAGACCTCATTCAATACAACTGTTAATTCTTGATCTGTACAATACATACATGTTGTAAAAAATAGCTTCATCATTGTGACTAAGATTTGTACTATTCTTGCGTTTTTAACTAGACTCGTTTACCCTTTTAGAACAGTGGAAAGTTGGATATTTATGGTTCTTTAATCAGACTACATTTTAAATTGTTCAGTTTTGGCAATAGTATCAAATATTTAAGAAACAGACCATTAATTGATTGTAGGTAGTGATGTTTATACCAGTACATTGTAGAATCCAATAAAATAGATCAATAGTTATTGCACAGATCACAAAGTCACAAACTCAGCTTTATTCTTCATATCTGTGTTGTTAATAGACAAAAAAACTCACATGCATCATATTAGCAGAGTTAATCATGAAAAGGTTTATGGTTATTCAATAAATGAAAAGATTTTTCTTTATTTCAATTGAAGTTTAAAGTTACAAATTTAGAAAGTGCAGTAAAGAGACACTTTCATAAATATCTACTGAGTTATTTTTTTTAAATTCTAAAGTTTCAGATGAATTGTTAAATGTAATTTGAAACTATGATACATCAGGATGGCAACCAACTGTGTATGTCAATAGATGTAATTCTGAAATCAGTCATTTTAACATCGGATGACCATGAGGGCATTCTGGTGTATTGCTGTTGCCTAGATTTCCATTACGTAACTTTCGTGTTGGGATTGTAACCGATCTATAAACATGATAAATACGCGGACATTATCGAGTGCAAAATAACATTCCTTATCGCTTGTTATAAATTCATTTTTTCAATGGATACTCCTAAAAATATTTTTTTTAGAACATAAATTAATAATATGAAAATGTTTTGTTGTTAGAAATATATATATAAGTAAAGAATCTTTAATATCTATGCACATGTACAGAAAATGTGTGTTAACGCATGCGGAAGAATATCTCAAGAATGTTTGCAATCTCCCATGCAGAGTTATCGGTCCTCGCTCTCTCTCAAGGACCGATAACTCTGCATGGGAGATTGAAAGTTTGGCGCCATATTAATGCCTACTCAAATCCAATCTATTAGAAAAATTGAATTATTACAGAAGAGTGTTCACCATGCACTTGCACTGCACTATTATTAATATAGTAGAATATAATGATATACAAATAGATAAAAATTATATATACATGTAACTGTAATATACAAATATTAATATAATATATAACAACAAACCAGAGTATACTGATTTGTATCACTTCAATATCATATTTATTACGGTGAGGTTGAATTCCCTGTCTTTTATTTATCATCCACGCACGAACTTGTCTAAGAAAAAAAATTATATCTGTAGATTAAACTCACTTTCAGGTATAAAGATGTGATTTTTTTTCAGAGACAAGTGCTTGTGACCTTCCACAAGAACTTGCAGTCATCTGATGTTCAGTACTTCAGTACTTTGATTAACAGTACTGTTACAAACTTAATAAATGTTTTGAACAAATTATTTCTAGACATCTTTTTTAAATCAATCTCATAAAATTCTTGTTTCAAGGAGTTGTTGCTATCACTGTTGCCATTTGGAAGACATTTCATCCCAATTGATTTCATGAGCATTTATAATTGTTAGTTC